AGGAGGGAAAGCCAGAAGCAATTTTCTAGGATGAGTGTGAGTTAAAAGTGTGTTGAGGGGTGTTGAGGGTGGAAAGTTTAGTGGGAAGCTGAGGGTTGTGAAACCAGATGTCACTCCAGGCAGGTAGGAAGACAGGTGATTTTAACAAGCTTCTACGGCTGAGCAGACAACTACTGTGACCTCTTGAGTGACCTCCACACCTCCTCCTCTCGAGATCCTGCCTCCTCCTCCTCTCAGACAAGTTTGAAATCCCAAGAATGTAATTAAAGTCAAAGCTTCAAGTCGTCATACTGCCATCCCTGAGGACTGAATTGTACTGAATTCATCCATTTGTGCATTATTTCAAGTTCTATGTGAACCATATTTGATACGATAATATATATAGTAAAATATTCACTATAAAATTCCAGTTTTAGTGGCTTAATGACTGAAGAAATTGGACAACAATCAGGTGACCTGTGAACTCTGAACCAGATGGATAAATCTGGGGTGAACATATACAAAAGTTCACCAGTCTGAAACATACTGGATACTTAAACATGTGGTTTTTTCCCCCTTTTAGTTAAATAAACCCCATCAACACCAACATTTATTTAACGAATTACATTTTACTGATAGAAAATGTCTCCGCATGTCATCCATTCTTTTGAATGAAACTGAACTTTGCAAGGCCAGTGCTGCTGAAGAGTGAACCATTTTGGACTAGCATTCAGCCGTAACCAAAGCGCCATGATGACACCTCTATACGACCAGTAGACAGAGGGAGTGTGAGCTGAGCATGCACTCTAAGGAAGTGCGAACAGTCAGAAGGGAGAAAAAGCAGCGACAGTGTGTATGGAAACTAAAAGTGGACTCTGCTTAGTTGCCTCTAGCTTCAGTAATTATCTTGCTGTTGATTTATGAGGTTCCAATTTGTCCATTTTGGTCCCTGCCAGCATGAGCTCGATGCATTGCTGACCAGTGCTGTGGCTCACCAGGCTGCTTGCAGCATTGCCAGCAAGCATACCAGTCATTCAGTCACATGGAGACGGAAAGGTATTGCTACCCATAGAGTTGTAAAAGTTTGACCGGACTAGATGTGTGGTAGATTATTACAATGCTGGCTGAAAAACATACAAAAATATGTTTTCCATATTTCCACTGATTTAATTTAATGTTTGAAAGCAACACAAACATATCTGCTGCTTTGTCATTGCTTTGTCTGAAAGTAAGAGTGTTTGGACGTGCCCGAAAACCATCAAATAGTTCAGTAAGTTTTATGTTAAGCATGCGTTCAAGACATTTGTTCAAAAAAAAGTCAATTCTAATAATGTTTCTAACCATGTGCAAAAATGTCCTGCCTCATATAAACAAAAGTTTTTTTTTTAATGTTTATTTAAAGTTGGTTTTCTGTCAGGGGGAGGTTTATTCTTGTATGTTGAACAAATTGGATAAAAATAAAAAAAAGTTAATAAATTGTAAACAAGAAGTGGTTGTGAGCGCTTGTGTCCTGGATGATTACTCTCCCCACTTCTTTTTGACAGCAAAGGTCCTTGAGCTATCAACAACGCAGACGGATCGAGTTTACTGTAAACTGTGGTGGATGTTGCCATTCTGAAGCATTTTAGGATTTATGGAAGAATAGTATGCAGGTGAAAAATCTTTTTTTTAAGAGTCCTTCAGCATAAAGGCTGTGTGACCTTTTTGCACAAATGTTTTATTAATGTTCCTGTTCACTTAGGGAGCTAGTCACGTTGTCAGCAATCGACATATGTGTATATATCATTTACCTTTAGACGTGCTGTATTTCTTCACGGAAGCTTTGAAGCTTTTTCTTTCTAAACACACATCTTCAGTGCTGTGATGTGTTATCTGTATCCTGTTTCCTCACAAACTTCCCCTCAGTGATCAGGGGAGTCTAAAGTTTCATTTAATTTAATATGATCTATAGGACAGGTACGTAAAATAAAATGCAATGGTACAACAATGGTGAGACTTGGTTTTTTCCACCTATGAACTCTTATCAGCTTGACTGTGGCATGCCTTTGAATTTTTGTGTGGTTTCAAGAGCTCAGTGGCAAGTGACTGCAAACCTCCATTCCACAGATGAGACACTATACCAGAAACCCCGGTGTTAAACACAACACCTGATAGTAAGGGATTGGTTTCCTAACTGCATACCTCCTCCAGGTGTACGCCTGCTTTAGGCTGATTTTTAGGGTGGGGGCTGACAAGTTGGGAAGGAGGGTAGATGAGGAGTCTCTACTATAACCTCCTACTGCATATAGGGATGTCAAAAGTAAAAGACAGTTGAAAGAATAGTAAGGAAAGAGTGGGGTGAAAACAAAACAAAAAGGGCCGACTTGAACCCAGGCCCTAGCAACAGCCTTCAGCATATGGACCACCTGCTTAACCAGGTGAGGTGCACTGACTGCGTATTTGCGTGCTTGGTTAGTGAAATCATCTCAAGTCATATAAACGTTTTATCCTAAAAAAATTAAGAAATGTTCTTTGTCCTGTGTAGGTGTGGTCAGCGGAGTTTTGATTGGCAGAATGAACCCAAGCAATCGGCGCAAATGTATATTTGTTTTAAACTTCAGAGCGAAGTAAAAAATGGCCTCTTCAGCCAACTGTCTAAAAACAAAAGATAATCAGCATACATCAATTAAACAATGAGAAAAACAGCAGGCCTCACATCTGATAGGAGATGAAAACGTTTGGTCGTTTTTGCTTGTGAAATGACTCACTTCATAATATTTATCACTGCTCTACAATCCAGATCAAGGGTTGGGCAAAGCCTGAGGAGTCTTGGTTCATATGACATGTTGTGCAAGCGTAGTGGAAATCAAATGTTGTTTGCAAATGCTCCACATAGCGAAACTGACAGGCCGAATGAGATAATTGTTTAAATGTGGGAATAATAGAATCCATCCATCCGTTTTCTGCTTCTTATCAAAGTCCAGGTCACTGGGGCAACAGTCCCCGGACCTCCCTCTTCACAGCCACTTTGTCAGACAAGAGATGTGCTTTCTCCACCGTGTCCTGGGTCTGCTACAGGGTGTCCTCCCAGTCGGACATAACTGAAACACCTTACCTAGGAAATGCCAGAACCATGTTTGATGTGGAGAAGCAGAACCCCGAGAACAAGAAAGGATGAAGCCCTTGGTCAAAGGCTGAGTTGAGACACCCAAATTTCTGCTACCCGTGTCTGTGATCTCAATCTTTTGGTCACTACCCACAGCTTGTGGCTTTAGATGAAGATGGGAACAATGATCGGATAGTAAACTGACTGCTTCACTTTTTAAAAAGCGCTTTATGAATATTTAATTGGGTGCTTGAATTAGAAAGTACTGAAACTGAGTAGAAAGAGTATAAGCATAGCTCCATTCACTTCAACAGACTGGTAAAACATCCAGATTACTGCAGACACTGCACCAATTCATCTGTCAATTTTCTACTTTTTCTTCGACCAGAGACTTGAACTCCACTTCACTTCCAGTTACTCATTCCCATCCCGTTGTAGACACACCACCCTTTTCCATCAGAGAACCATGGCCTCAGGATTGAAGAGCTATTTCTTGTCCCAGCCATTTCACACTTCACTGCAAACCACCTGATTGTAAGCTAGAGGTTGTTGCTCAATTAAGGCAACAGAAGCACATGATCCACAAAAGTCTGACACGAAATCCTCAGTCCACGAGACACATAATAAACTTATGAACAGAACTGGTGGCAAGGGGCAGCCCTGGCTGTGTTTAACACCCACTGGGAATGATAACCATGCTCTTACAGTGGCTGGAAAGTGATGACCAAACAATCCCAACTCCAATCACCATTCTGCTAAAGCAGGGATAACCGAGCACCTTTTAAGACAGTTTCTCCTGAAAGGCTTGTTTGCTCTTGTGCGTGGTTGTTAATGTGTACTAGCAGTTTATGGAGTGAAGTGGGTGTTGTTTGAGCCATACACTGAAACCCTGAAGTTCTTAGACATTACCTGACTGAGATGCATTCAGAAAGAATGTCTGACTCAGTTGGTTTTGACATTAGCTGGTCTTTAATCTACCAGCTTTTTTGTGATGTTAGATTGTTTATGGCAAAGATGATTACACAGTGGATTTGTCCGGCCTTTGACATGCACTTTCCAAAGTGCACAGTGGGTAACTGCGACGTCTAGACCTGATTCTCCTCATATTGTCTTGACTTCATGTGTTAAATGAGCTTTAGCATACTGGAAACTTCATTTGCATGCATCTCAAATTATAGCTAAAGAAAAATTGCACGTAATAACACACAGTGGTATTAAGTGACAAACATTTTATTTCCTATCACGTCTATAACTTTTCAAGCTGAATTAAAGCAAAGTTTTACAATTAAGATTAAGATCTATAAACAGTATAAATTTGAAGGTCAAGAAAAAACAGGGATTTTTAAAAGAAATATCAAAAACTAGATCTTACATAGGAAACAGTTTATTTTGGCCAAATTGTGATGCACTGGTTTCACAATTTCTCAGAACTTGTGAGTTACTTGTGCCATGGAGAACAGCAGCAATTTCTCTGCTCGAGACAATGTGAATCACGCGGGAGACAAATGCAGGGAGACAAATCTGTTACACAAAGAACTGTTTGTACGATTTCTCCCGGTCTGCTGTGAGATCACGAGGGTGCTCTGTGACACAGTACAGACACGATGCAGACATCACAGAAAAGCACAGTAACATCTTTCTGCAATTCTGGCTACACTCACAATTTCTTATTACGTGCCAGAAGTAGTAAGAATGGTGTTGCAAAACAGCAATAAAGCATCGATTTCTAAGTCAAAGTTATTCTTTTAGTGGATCGAGTCTGACATGTGGTAGAGAGATGCAGATATCCAAACAATACAACCTGCTGGGTAACTGCATAATTTTTTTTTGTGTTTTTCAAGAATTTTTGTGTGTTTGCAAAAGACATATTGTCCCCAACCAAAGAAGACCATAGTTGTGATTTTATGTGCATGCAAAAGATATTCCTAAAGCTCACCTCAGCTCCGGAATAATTGTTGGTCCGAGTCACCAGGTGGTCAAGAGACACATTTTCAGCGACAGGCATATTACGAAACTGCAGAGAAAATATTTCCTTTCGAGTACACGCATCTGGAAGCGGCACGTAGACAATTCGGTCGAGGCGACCTGGACGCATCAGAGCCTGTGGGACAGAAAAAAGACAGACAGCATCTGTTTTAAGGTCATATTTCAAAAATTGCGACACATAAAGGGTTTTAAAAATGTTTTCAGCATTATTGCTTTATTTCAACAGTGTTTCCTTTGTACATTGCCATTCTTATGTCACAAAAATACTGTCATGACACTATGTTTCTGACCTTTGACCTTATTGCTGGTTGCTTGTTAAGCTGTGAAAAAATAGTTCAGTCCACTCCTGAAATAATTGTACACCTATTTAAACAGGACTATAAAGCAAATGCCTGATATACAAACTGTGAAATTTGAGATTTCCACTTCTGGCGTCAGCGTGGAGACAATCTCCCCGTTATCTGATAAACCTTCCACTTCCTACAGATCACATCTCTGTGACCCCAAAACAGTCCTTGAGTACCCAAAGCTGCCGCTGTCCCGCTTGTCAGACGTCATTAAGTGGCAGGCGCCTCTCAAACTCAGACAAGCAGACAGACTGACAAATATGTCCTGCCTCCATCTGCTGTCCTCAGCCAGGCCGTGACAAGCTGCAGTGTGGTAACCCATTTGACAAGCCAACTAGCTGAGGAGCAGTGGGTTTGGGAAAATAAATGAGCACAGTGTGAACTGGCATTTATTGGTAGCAATGGAATGAACTATAAACAGAAAACGAACATCAACTGAAACTCAAAGTTTCTTTGTTGCTATTCTCCTAAGAGTCAGTAAGTCCTGAAGGCCCTGGCTCTGAGCCAGACAGGCCACAGCGGGGCCAGACTCTGGCCTGTGGAGCCGAGACAGGAGATACTCACAGATGCAAGCCATAGAGGAGGCCATGTCAGGAGTGATCAGTGAAGGTTGGAGGGACTGGACAAGCAGCCTTTGAACTGTTAGATACTGCGCTTCTACCTCTGCAACTCTCCTCTTTTACTTGCAAAGAATATGAGCATCTACTGTACGTCATGTCATCCTGTATGTTTGAGTAGGAGAACAGAACAATCAGCACATGCTACGAGTTCAGCTAACTAGTGCATAAGCACTCTGTGAATCTGGGTTTTAATAAGGTTGATATTTAACTCACTTAACAAGCAGAAATGCCAAACATCTGCAAAACCTATATTCCATAATTTAAAAAAAAGGGAACTCTAGGTGCATAGAATTTTCCAGCTTAAAAAAATGTAAGCAAAAAAAAATCTTTTCTGCGTTTCATTTGAAGACCACCTGCTCGATAAGTGTCTTGGAGGAAATTTCAGGTTTGGAGTTTTGTTTTACGGTTTGCTATATTTCCCCTCTGGATAGCAAATTCCAGTTTACTGGGGTGATGGATAGTATCCCAGCCTTTTATCTACTGGTTTTCCTGTACATGTGTATGGAACATGAGAGGACAGAAACCGGAGACGAATGTTAGTAGCTACCTTTACGTATCCACAACAGAGTAATGGGTGACAAAGGAGCCGTGGCTCATGACAGCAAACGTTCTTGCTTTTCAGGTCTCTCGACTCTTACGCTTGATTACAGAAAGGTGGGTGGCTATCTGTGACGGTAGTGTAACAAAATGGATAGAGAGGAATAACACCACCCTCAATCGAAGCAGGAAAGGGGTGGCTGCTGCGGTGACATGCTGGGAGATAGATGGACGGGTGGCTGGAGGGCTGCAGTATTAAATCAAAGATGTAAGGGCTTAAGGCCTAATAAGGTGCATCTGGCAAAGCAATTATAAAACAACACCTGTGGGATCAGGTTTGTTATTATGTTTCTTCCTGTGGGTTAACATATATTGTTGGTACAAAACTGTGCTCGAGGCGTGAGGTGATTGTAGTGGGAACTTTAATCTGTGATTGTTTGTCACAGCAAGTCAAGCCCGTTGCAGCACAGTATATTGCATTATGCAGAGGACGTGCCAGGGACACTTCCTGAGTTGCTCTCCCTGGAAGTATCGGGCGGCTGCATGCCAACACAAACCTGCTGACCCCGGACTAAATAACTCAGTCACTCCCACACACGCTGACAAACACATTCGCATATGCAAGCGTGCATGTAAGCACACATATATTCCAATAAACTCTCCTTGGACGGATCGTTTTAATTTCCGATCCATTTTCCTAGTGCAAAAACACCACTTTGCACTTTATCAGCTATTAATTCTCTCCGCACACATAATGGAGAAGTGCCTGTAGCTTCCAGGCACTCGGGCTCCGAGCGTTCCAAGACGCTCCCGAAAAAGCAGAGCCGACCCTCAGCTTTGAGACTGCTAAACTCATCTGACTGCCCTGGAGGGAAAGAAAGGCTTTTTTTCTTTCCTCCCAGCAAGAGCAGGGGGCCCATCCATCACTTAACAAGATATACTTCCTGTTCTCAAGGATCCGGGGGAGGTGGTGGTGGTGTGGAGGGAATAAGAGGAGGAGGAGGTAAGGAGGGGGGACCCCAAAAGACAAATACTTGGCTTGGCATGTTGGGCAAGCGTTGACGGGCTCTTTTCGTAACGGCATCATTCCACCTGAAGTCTTGGCTCCGTTGGCAGAAGGCAAGAAAAAAAGGAGTCAGGCGAGGAGATGAGAGAGGAGAGGACAAAACCAGCCAGACCAGGGCACTCAGACAACCCACTTGAAAGGACAGCAGGACCAAAGCCCTGCAAACAAACACAGATAAGTGGTGTGGGAGACAGCAAACCACCACAGACAAAACCCAGTTGTATAAATTCTCTGCTGTTCTAACATGAGTCTGCATGACGGATTGCATCCACCTTGTTGCACCACTGACATGATAGGCATCATTACACACGAGCCATTAGTAATTAGAAATGCCCCTAGGTAAAAAATACCAACCACCTTTAAGTCAACACAGAACCATTTATATACCACTGAATCTAGGAGAGTGTGCACTGTGGACTTAACCTCAGCAAAATGTATGTTGCAACGCTGAGAAAGTTTGGAAAAACATGTGGATCAGTCAAGCTGATTAAAAAGCAAACCAAAAAAAGACAGAGAGAGACAAGAGAGAGAAAAAACTCATCCATGCTTTCTGCGCCAAGTTTCACTGCCGATAACAACAGTAATCATTCCAAGGCATTGCAATCCTCCACATGAAGTGATTACCCCCTAATGACAGACAACTTCCTATCTGCGAAGGCCGGTACCTCTCCTTAACCAATGAGGAATGCTGGGAATCTTTTCCTTAGAGCGTTGTTCCTAAGCACATTCTTGGCCAGCTTCAATCTGACCCACTCTGAGCTACGTCTACAAACTGTTTACAAACGGACGCCCCCGCAATTCAGGTGTCTTATTCTTAGATAGAAACTTAGACTTGGTGTGACTAAATCAAGATCAAGATCTGCTTTGTTACTCACGACGCCTTCAGATCAAATGAAAAACGAAATGAAACACTGGGTTTGTGAAACTGAACATGATGACTAAGTTCTTCCCTGCACATCTGGTGCTATCTCTGTTTTTCCAATAAGCTGTTTTCAGTGGCACTTTTTAAAATGTACAGCATGATAGCAGGCTGTCTGCATGAATGAGAGGTTTGCCTGAGGAGACATGAGTTGACTTTGTTGCCTGCCAGAAGGCATTTGCTGTATGTGGCTTCCTAACCTGTCAGTCTGCAATCCTTAGAGGCCTTGGTGAGTCATACCGACTCGGAGATGGGCCGCCCTGGATTTATTCCGAGCACACACAAAACAGAAAATGCAGAAAGCACGATGGGAACACAGAGCTCACAGAAAGGTCAGCATTCAGACGCAGTAATCTTAGATACAATGCACTAGCCGAATACCAGTAAATGTTACAGACTGTCAGGTGTCACTGGTATTCTTAAAGTCAAGATTGCTGTTATATCTGTGAAAGTAACACAAAATTGGGAAGATGAAGATTTTTTGCAACAGCTGTGATTCAGTGGATGTCCTCTTTCAGAAAAATCTGGTTTACAAAGTCCCAGCTCAGGAGCAATTTCCACAAAAACACAAATCCAGAGCCAGTTTGTTTCTTTCACAGTTTTCAAGGGAGCTTCCTTTTACAGATGAGAGACCTACTGAGCCTCACATCGATTGTGCAACATGCATGAGTGGAAGACTGCGTGGCATCTGTGGCACTTCCGTGAAATGTGTTATGTTCTGATCCTTCCACAACATGCCAATCATTAATCAAAGTGCCTTACCTTTCACTTGCTAAAGTGCAAAAAGGGAAGGAATTCAGTCAGTCACACCTGGGTGTGTGGCATGTCACATGCAGCAGCAAGTCATTAAAAACACTGCACCAGTGTTTTGTGGACTGTACTATGTGCAAAAATCAGGCACCTATAACCTTAACGTACTGCAATGATTGCTAGAAGAGTTATAGTTATTTTATGGATATACATTTCCGTTGTTCAATTTATGGGAGAAGGAACGACTTCCTCTCATATTTCTACCACAAAGTGAACCTGACTTGGATTTTTTTTAACCACCTGGATTCAACATATTTCTTGTTGTTCCCACTAAACTCTTGCAGAGAGTGGCCTCATTGTATAAAAACCTCTCCAAGTATGTGAAAATACCCTTGAGCTTTATTTCGTCACTCTGATTTATGTCAGAGTACAAAACAAGCTATCAGCCGGTTCTGTTTTTCAAATCCTTCAAATCACGCAAATCCGATTTGCATCTACAGAACATTTTGCCCAAGCTTCCTTTCACAAAGGTGACATAATTCTGATCGAGGCCACGCTGTCTTCAGAGAGACACTGGACCTTCTTTACGTCAGTCTTGATTTCGACGTGAGAGAGGATCAGAGAGAACTGGAGCGGAGGGAAAGAGAGAGTAAATCAAGGAGAGAGGGGAGGGGACAGCAGAGCAGAGAGGGATGAGAATGACAGAGGAAGAAAGTAAGTATGCGGTGAGAGGTGGAGAGAGAGAGAGAGCGAAAGAGAGGAGTTGGCAACCGCTCAAAAACATGAGAGGCTTTCACTCTGGATTTTGCCCTTGAGTCAAACTTGCATCCGGCAGGCGAGGCCACCGTGTCCAAGAACCAAATAACTCTGCCGCTGTTAACCCCCGCTGTCTCACATACTCGTGCACAGCCAAGAGGAAGTAAAGATTTAGAGTTTTAAAATAAAGTATAAACCATTTGAGCAAGTAATATTTTCTTTTAGAGAATAAAAAAAATCATTTTTTTATCACGGAAAAAGAAAGCCGTTCGGGACAAAAGACACTTTTTTGAAATATTTAAAGCATTTGACTCCAAAATACTGTATGAACTATAAACTTTTACTCTTAGGGCCGCACAGCATAATAAATCAAGACATTTTCATCAAAGATAACATTTATGACTTTTTATGCCACCAAATGGAAGTCATTACTTCCGTTTCTATAGCAGAAACTCATCTAATTTTACAATATTTGTATATAAAATCAGTGGTGATTGCACCTTACCTGTTGACAGAAATAACACCCTGTGCCTACAAGTGTGTAAATGGTGTATAGAATGTGTTCCTTCACAAAAGATCGTGGGTTGGGTTCCAATAACACTCACTAATCTGGGGTTTTGTTAAAAGCCTCAATGACTGTTTGAATGCTTGCATTTCTTGTCCTAAAGCACAGCTTTTTTAGAAATGCCCCAGAGCGCCCAGATTTCAGGAAATTAAATTAGTTTGCTGTTATTATCATAAAAAATGACCCAAATTTTCCTTAACACACAGGCAGATGGTGTTTTTTCTAGAGTGTTGTGATTTTAGATTTTTATTTTCTTTTTTAAATTTGTAAACCAAGCAGGAGGCTCAAAACCTAGAAACAGTGCAGTCATGTGCATGCACAGTGTAACTGGGCAAATAATTATTACAGAATTAGATATCCCACCTCTTTTACCTTTTATGTGCATTGTGTAAGCAGGTAAAAGGGCCACGATCAGGGAAGGAAGGGGGTAAAGAAGTAGCAGCAGCTGTGTTGTTGCTTCCTTTGGGTTTAGAGGGTGGGGATGGGGGGTGGTGTCAGCCTTACACCCCTACAGCTGTCCTGGAGGTCCACGATTGTGTTGAAACTACACAAAATGGCCAGCCCTCACACCTCAATGAAAATAACACTCTTTTTGGAAGGAGTAGGTAGGCAAAGTAAGTGCATGTATGTGTGTGCGTCTGTGTGAATGAGTGGAGGTGGGGGCGGTAATTGTCAAGCAGAAAAAAAAGTGAAGAAAAGCAGAGGAAATAAGACCATGACCATGTTGAAAAGTCGGCTCATTGGAGCCCAAAATAAAAACGCAGTAAAGCGCCTGCCATAAAACACATGTATGTTTGCTTTACAAAGAGGCGTTTCCTGTGAGCTGTCCACAGTTCACAGTTCAGTTCTATGCAGCCTTGCCTTTGGTGTAAACTCATCAGGGTCTGGTTTCCATAATGTGTGAGCACCCTCCAAACTCCCTGGTCCAGTAGCTGCCTCAAACAAATCAGCAGCCACAGCCAATGAGCAATGTTTCCCTACAGACACTTTTTCTGGCGTAATCCATTTGTCTCAATCGTGGCTTTGAGCTTGCAAGTGCTACTGTCACCCTCTGGTAGACTGCTGGTATTCTTGTAGAACACATGCTTGTGTGTCCATGTGCGTATGGAGAAGGGCCATCCAACAGACACAGCCAACAACAACAACTTAAACCTGCTGATTGCAGCACCACTATAAAATCTGAAACTGTGCCATCGCCCCAAGTTAGCCATATATAAAAAGGTAAATCACTGAAAAGCAAATACAACACATTCAGTAAAGAATTTGTGCAGTCTTCATAGTAAGACTGAAGTGATTATTTGATGGAGACATTTATCCACTCATCGTGCAAATAAAGACTCACTTTAATGTCATAGATTAAGAAGATTTTCTTTCTCACATTTCACATCCACTCACTGTGTGTTTATACATCACTCTGCATTTAATTACGAATTACTATTAATCTCTGGCTCTCTTTCACAGCATATCTTTTGTCCCGTCTCCCTCCCTTCACCCTCAACTGGTCACTGCATGCCTGCCTCTCCATCAGCCTGGATCTGCCTGAGGTTTCTTCCTGTTAAAAGGGAGTTTTTCCTTCCCACTATCGCCAAAGTGCTTGCTCAGAAGGGGGTCATCTGATTGATGAGATTTCTCTATAATATTGCAGGTGCAGGGTGTTTACCTAACAATATCAAGTGCCCTGAGGCGACTGTTGTTGTGATTTGGTGCTATATAAATAAAACTGAACTGAATTAAAATTAAAGGCAGTCAAGAACGGCAGATGCAAAGATGTTTCACAGAATTTCCCATTAAAACTAAAACATATCTATAAAGAATTTCATGAGCTGCTTAAATATCCTCTACAGAGGTTAAGTACAGTGGGGCAAAAAAGTATTTAGTCAGCCACCGATTGTGCAAGTTCCCCCACTTAAAATGATGACAGAGGTCAGTAATTTGCACCAGAGGTACACTTCAACTGTGAGAGACAGAATGTGAAAAAAAAAATCCATGAATTCACATGGTAGGATTTGTAAAGAATTTATTCGTAAATTAGAGTGGAAAATAAGTATTTGGTCACCTCAAACATGGAAAATCTCTGGCTCTCACAGACCTGTAACGTCTTCTGTAAGACGCTTTTCTGTCCCCCACTCGTTACCTGTATGAATGGCACCTGTTTGAACTCATCATCT